GTTATTGCTTCATTTTGACCTATCGCCAGCACTCTCCCAATACCACCAACATTCCTTGTCTTGGGGCAGTCCCTCTTGAAATGCCCGGTTTCTCCACATCCATAACATGCTTGGCTTACCCCAGTACCAGGAACTTGAGTGACTGGCCGCGCTGGCGCTTTACAGAAACGGGCAGTGTGCCCTTTCCTGTCGCAGTTCTTACAGTACATCTCGCGGCAATTACCGTGGTGATGGTAGTTGCATTTGCTGCACTTTGGCAAGTTCCCTGCATATTGTTTTGTTGGCGTCGGGGTTGTAGGAGTTGTGACGGGAGCAGTAGCAGCATGAACCGCCACCATTTGTTTCTTTGAAGGTTCTTGCGAGGTTTGCCCCTTTCTCTTGTTCCAGAATTTCTTCTTGTTGTTGTTGTTGGCATTGTTATTGTTGTCGTTGTTCCCTTTGGTTGGTTCAGCTACGATAGTCGTGACTCCTTGGCAGACGCCATGATCAACGAGAGATTGCGCCAGTTCCTTGGCACTGTCGAAGGTCATGGGCTTGGAAGCTAGCACACTTCCTCGCAGTTGGGGTGATAATCCCCAGATGTACCTCTCCACTTTTTGGCTTTCTAGAATCAACATCCCAGGACAAAGTGTTATCAAATCGCTGAACCTGTTGGTGTAGCCTGCGATGTCCGAGCCTACCATCGAAAGGTTCCACAATTCTTGTTCAAGCTTCTGAATCTCGCCTCTTGGGCAGTATTCCCGAAGGAGCATTCGCTTCAAGTTTTCCCAACCCATGGAGTTCGCCACCACCAGGGTTAGTGTCTTGACGTGGCCGTTCCACCATGTCAAGGCGCGTTCAGAGAATGTACAGGCAGCAAATTTTACTTTGCTTTCTTCAGGGCATGCGCAAATTTCAAATACGGCTTCCGTTTTCTCTATCCATTGGGACAGAGCCAATACTCCCCCAGTCCCATAAAAGGGAATAGGTTTTCCATTGGTGAAGTCTTTGTAAGTGCAGACTCCAGAACGGCCTTGGCTTGGGCCATTTGTAAAGCTATTTATTCCTCCTCCTGACCCATTGTTGCTCATTTGAGCCATCGCCGCGGTTACAGCGGCTGTTACAGCAGTTTGGAACATAGCTGCATCCATAGTTGGAGGGGTGGTGGAGGTGGTGCTGGAGTTGAGTTTCTGCGTGTTGATCTACGAGGAGGCATGTTCTGGTAGAGAAAATAAGAACGAATACTATAAGTTTCTAATGTTTTGACAATCGTGTAGTTGAGGGTTAGTCGTATCTTGTAATTTGTTTTGACTTTAGTTTTTGGTTTCAAATTAAATACAACAATTTAGTTAATTTCAGAGGTTTCGAGAGGTATATAAAGAAGTACTGCATATTTATATATATGTCACACCTAAGGTGTGTTACATTATGCTTCTAGTTTTAGGAAAATTTGACCTATCTAGAGGTCTCCGTTTACAGATACAAAAGAAAATAAGAGAAAAACTTTATCCGAGGTCCTAGTCTATATCAAAATTGTTGGAGCTTGAACAAACTCTACTTGTGGCGTTTGGAGCTGGATTCGGCATCTGACCGTTTGACTCCCATCAGTCGCCTCTCGAAATCTGCTTGTTGTTCTTTCATCTCTCTTATTTCGTCTAGAGCTGTTATCATTTGGTTCTGAAGTGTCCCCGTGTAGATTTGGGTATTCTCATGTAGTCCTTCCAAACGGCGGATGTCAGCGGCGTTACCTTGGGTAGCAGCATTGATCTCGCGAACTCTGGCTGCTTGTTGGTCTGCCTGGTAGTTCTGGTTAGCTATAGCGTTCACGACAACAGGAAGTGCTCGATCAGCTGAGCCTCCCCCACTGACGTTGTAAAAATCCCGACACATGCCGAATGGAGGGCGTACACCTTGCTGACGGCTCCAGTAGTAGAGGTGGCTTCCCCAGATGGGAATGGGTCCCGGTTGATATGGTCTGATTACGGGAGGATGGGGGATGGGAGGGTCGATTACTTCCGGTTCGGAGTCTGTTCCGCTAGAAATTTCCACGATCTCCTCGTCGACTTCGTATTCTTCTCCGACTTCGATTTCGAATTCTTCTTCGACTCCCTCCTCGAACTCTTCTTCGACCTCTTCTTCGATTTCCTCTGGGTCTTCCTCCGGGTCTTCTTCTATCCAGCCGCCGTTACCTTGATTTAGGTAGTAGGGGTCTCCCGGTAAAGGAAATCCGGCCATTTGTCTGTACTGGGATAGAGGTATGAGATTTTTATAAGAAAAGAAATTTCTATTTAACGACTTCCTAAGCCTATTTATATCTTTACTGAGCGCAATATTTTATCGTTCAATTATTTTTAACAATAGACTTATAGTATTTCAATTTAGCGAATCTAGATTTTATAAGTTTTTGGCTTGTTGACTACTACGACCATTCCTCGACGTACATTGGTCAAATCCAGGATAAATATAGTTGATCAGGCTATATTTATTCTTGATTTGATTACATACCCCAAGGCTCAATCGTGGTATCGCAACTTGCCATACTACTTTTTAGAAAAACTTGTCATGATACGAGGCTGATACGTGCGGGTAAAAATGTATATATTTAAAGAAAATATATTTCTATGAAAATGTTTTTATCAGAGGGTTTTTGGTTCCCGTTGTATTTATAGTTTGTATATCTTATGTGGTTTGATATACTTAGTTCACTATAAACAATGCTCTGATACCAATCTGTCACACCCCCAAACCAGAATGGCGGAAACATTCGGGGTGGATGACTTCACGTAGTATCACAACAATTGAATATTGTAAAGAAAGTAACACAACCATCATATATATAAAATGAAAACGTATATTGTTGCGTTATACATGTTATCAAAAGAATATTACAATATGATGATAAATGTTCAATAATAAAAACATCCTTTGTGTTCCTTCTCCCAAAAGCTGGTAGTTACCTGTATCACTGATTCCCTGAGAAATACAAGTGGTTTTGAAAAGTGTCAACAATTAAGTTGGTGAGTTCATGAGTGTTTCGAGTTGAAAAGTATATCCTTTTTGGTAGTAAATTGGTAAACGAGGTTTTTAGAAAGTCCAATATTTTCTTGTGAAAAAGTTTCCAAAGTTGGAATGTGTTAGTATCTTTTATACTCGAATGATAAAAACAACTTTGTATGAAAAATAATGTAGAAAACTGCAATGCACATATGAATCTCGTAAATCAATCTTGTTTTATACTTTTTATGTGAGTTTTATAACCATACTATTGACACTGACGGCCTGTAACAACATTCTTCAGGTGTTGCAGTGTTATGACATTTGTCACCCCAGACCTGCCGGTCTAACTATAGCTAGTAGTTTAGGTGCGGGATTGTCAATCCCGTATAGATCTATACACAAGTATCACGCTCTCCCTCCAAGAGATTATGGTATATAATACAGGACTTGAAATGCATACAAAAATGTACGTTGAAGTTTGAATATCTCACATTGCCTAGTATAAGTAGATTTACAATGAAATGACTTTAAAGTGTTTCGTTTTTCAAGATGTATATGTAAAATGTAGGACTGACTTGTTAACTATACCCATTATAGTTTTTCAGATAGTATGTTCCATTTAGTAGAAATAACTTAGTGACATAATCGCTCTTGTATACATAAGATGTTTGTATCGATATTCGAAGATAGAAATTTCATTTATGTTTATAAAACGATACTTTAACGTGTAATGTACTTGTATTCCCCCCCCCTAAAACATGAAAAAGAATTGAAAAGTAGGGGTATGAACTCACTCGTTAAGTTTGAAGAGAGAGACTAGAGTTAAGTAGAACTTCGATCGCGGATAGTTGCGTCGTCGGGCTCTTCGGGGATCTCTGCAACGTAAATCTTTCGTCGGGGGCTCGAGTGCGGAAACCGAGGTGAGGGGAGGGTCTCTGGAGCTTAGAAGTATGAGAGAATGGCTGAGGGATTGTGATTTGTGTGCAAAAACTCGAGCTTATGCCTTCTATTTATAGGGCTGGAAACCCTCGTACGCGGCGCGTACCTCCGAAGTACGCGGGGCGTAGTCAGTACGCGGGGCGTACTTCGGTTACGCGGGGCGTAACAATGCGTCATGGCTTACGACTCCTGGCTAGCTAGGCGTAGCTTGGGCGGGCCGATGGGACTCGACTCTGGGTCTAGTACGCGGGGCGTACTCCCAGAGAACGCGGGGCGTAATCCGCCCTGTCCTCTTCTAAATTCCGTAACTTTCGCGTACGAGCTCCGTTTTTCGTGTTCTTTATATCCACGCGTAGGTGAGATTATGCTCTACAACTTTCATTTAGACTCCGTCGGCTAGTTTTGTCTTTATTTTTAATGATATATTTTTAATAGGCCGGGCCTCCTAAAGTTCGTTAAAAACTCATAGGTTCTTTATTCGACGTCGGTTTTTGTTTGTCTTCTCATCCATTTGTTCCTATTGCGGAGATCTTCAACTCTCATTTGGATTGCGTTAGCTAATTTACACTCGATCTTAAATTCGAGTTTTTAGCCCTCTACTACTGTTACGAAACTTCGAAAATTCGTAACTTCTTCATACGAGGTCCAATTTGGGCGATCTTTTTATGCACGCTCACCTTTTAACGAGATCTACGATTTTTGTTTAGATACTTAAGGCTAAAATGCACATTATTGAGATTTTACTTTTTACGTCAAATAATTGTTTTAATGGCGTGTCGTAATTATACGAGTGGTTATAATTTCTTCAATATAACCCGATTTTGAGCGTTCTCTATGTTTTCGGAAACCTTGACACGTTATCTAGTATTTGATGCATCCCAACTTAGATATTTGAATACTTTATTTTCAAGGTTAATTTAGTTGTATTTGACTTTTGAGCGTTACAATGCTTTTGGAAAATATAGGGTTGTCACACGTGCAGTCTCTTAGCAAAAGTGCAAATTGGAACGATCACCTTCAAAATATCTTTTCTTTGATTCCTTATCAAGACGGGTCTTCATAAACAGATCAAACCATGATGGATCTTAACCTGTTGCTTCTTTCTACATAAACGACACAATATAGTTGTAGTTAATGTTAAGAAAAGTAGATTAGTAAGCTTTATAACTTCAATTATTTACCAGTTTCCTGCGATGGTCAGCATTTCCAATGCTCCCGCCTGTGTGCCTCCCAGTCTTCCCATTAGCATCGGGAGTGTTGCGGTTTTCCTTTGCACATGCAGATATGCTTTTCCACTTAGGAGTGTTCCAATACTGTAAATAAAATATATCTATAATAATATAACAAGGAATAAAAGTCAACAAAAACAAAAATAATGTATTGAATCCCTTACAGCACATAAGTTTTTCCAAACATTCTCTGGGATGTATTGGGGATGGAAATTTTCTAAGTTGTGAAAAGATTCATTCACATCTTCGATATGGTGGCCACCTTGTTCTGCTAGAATGACTGAAGCATCCCTAGCGTCCCTCATCCGGTCACGATAGCGCTCCTTCAAAATATTCTCAAAGCCTTGGTAGATCCTCTCCTCTTCTGTCGGAGACCACCGATACAAGGTCTGAAGAAAAAAAATGTTAAGTAAAATATCCAAAATAAAACAAATGAGCATAAGATATATTAATAAATACTTAATATATTACCCGGAAACGCTCAAATATCTGTCTGCGTAACTCCAATGGGATCTTTGAAAAGACAGGCCACGGGTGATCTAGTTTCTCCCAGAATATATTCATAATTGCCCTATGGACACGAGAATCACCAAACCTGCAATATTGAAATATATATATATATATATATATATATATATATATATATATATATATATATATATATATATAAAGTATAATCATAACATCAATAATCATAAATATACAATATAAAAACACTAACGCGTAGCCGTTTCGGGTGATAAATGGCAATGTAGACTCATGTGAAGCACCCACGGTAGAGCCATGACCAGTTGAATGTGGCGTATGCGGCGTATTCGGCACACGCGGCGAGGATTGCCTCATCATGTCGATATCAAAGTCCTGATCATAGTAGTAATCGGCGTGCTCCTTGCCATGGCCTCCAATAATGGAAACCCCATGTGGGTTGAGTGTGCTATGAATCACCCCTGCCATATCCGCAAGTGGATCATCCACACCTGTTTGTTGGTTAATTGCATTCCTTCTATTCGAGCCTACAACTCCAAATCCTATCTCCCGAGTGACATGTGGAAGCGAAGTTTGGTGTCATGGAGCTCCACTATCGCTAGAGGATTGCCTATGAGGAACTGGAACAGGCACAGAGCTACGGTTTGGTCCCTTACCCTTATCCTTACCTCTTCTATCTGACATGCTGCATTTAATAGAACAAGAATGTGTAACTATACAACATTAGATTGAACAAGAATGAGCTAATACATAACACTAGATTGATAAGTCATGCGAAAACAAATATTTAAAATAATATATGGATGTCTAACATCATTACAACAACAAAGCATAATTTAATGATGCACAACAAAAGAAAATGCTCCTAATATCCGTCCTCATCATCTTCCTCTTCAAGTTCGTCAGAATAAAACAGTTCGTTTGCATCATCCTCTATATCATCTCCATCTTCAAAATCTTCATTTTCATGATCTTCCTCTACAAATCCCTCACTTTCATCATCACTTATTTTCTCAGAGTTATTTGTATTTGAAGTTGGGCACATGCATTCGGTATGAGTTACTAAAGGATGCGACTCAAACCGCTCTTCAACCTGCAAGATTTCATATACTTCCATTTCAGCTTCGGTGACTTCAAATACCCCTCTTGGTTTCGTCTTGATAACCGCCCACCTATCTTTCATCTCCTTTGTCATTGAAGGGTACAGTGTATAAAACACTTGTTCTGCTTGAGATGCTAAGCAAAAAGGGTCATCCGTTTGAAGTCAGGAACTGGGTTTGACATCAATCAACTTGTTTTTGTTGACTATTACACCATCTTCATTATCAAACCAAGTACATTTGAAGAGTACAACAGTCGAGGGCCCGCTGTCATAATATTTAATCTCTAAGATATTTGTCAGTATGCCATAGTAGTCCGACTCTTCTTCGGCATTATACGCCTCCCCCCTCACGCATACTCCATAGTTATTAGTCGCACGTCCCTCACCATATTGTTGCGTATGGAATTTATAACCATTTACAAAGTACCCATTATGAAATTGAGCATAAGCAAATGGTTTCGTGGCTATATAACTTCTAAGTGTTTAGCACTTCCATCAGGTGACCTATTCATTACCTACATTAAAGAACACACACATTGTGTTGGTTAACAATGCATTAATAATAATCAATACGATTAAACTGGTTGTACTTACTCTGTCCTCAAACCATTCAGCAAAATATTTATCTCTAAGATTTGTAACCGGTTCATTTGGATGCAATGTCATTTCCAGTTCATCAAACTCAAGGATGTAAGGGCTAACTTCTTTACAGTTAAGTAAGATGTAGGTGTGCGCCTTGTGAAGTTCTTTATCAGTCAACCGACCTCGTTTTCCACCCTTTTCATACAATCTTTTTGATGGGACGGTAAACACACTAAGTGGAGATTCTCCATTCGAAGAGTTGTGAATTTGCAGTGCGAAATTTCGTGGCTCTCGATTATGGCGAGTCTTAATCTTCGGGTCAAAATATAACGAACAATAGGTAGCGAGTTCATTCACTAAATGTTCATTGACGATTGATCCCTCAACCCTTGCTTTGTTCCTAATTCTTCTTTTTATTATGCCCAATTTCCTATATTTATAAAGTATCAAAAATGTATAAGGAATTTTAAACAAATCTTTAAAAATGTTGGATATATAATATTGAAAGAGTGTGATTACCTCTCGTATTGATACATCCATTTGTATTGTACCGGACCACCAACAATAGCTTCATCAACTAAATGTATAACCAGGTGTTCCATGGAATCAAAGAAGCCGGGAGGGAATATTTGCTCCAACTTGCACACAGTTTGAACAATACTGCGCTTCATCGGATAAGTCCTGCAGATGCAATGTTTTCGAGCATAATACTCGAAAATACATACACATCTCTGACACAGCCTCATATATCTTTGTTGGAACAAACCCTCTTATAGCAAGCGGAAGCAACCGTTGCATAAACACGTGACAGTCATGGCTTTTGAAAGCATAAAAACTATAATCTTTGATGTTTACGCAGTTCCCTATATTTGATGCATACCCGTCAGGAAATTTGAGTTTTTTTCAACCAAATACATACTTTTTTAACGTCTTCCTTTTTCAGCGTGTAATCGCCACGATTCTTATGTGTCTTCCTATTGTTGTCCCTTATAGGGTTTAGACTAGGTCGGTCACATAGCTCCTCAATATCCTCTCTTGCCTTCATATTGTCTTTGGACTTTGGTGTGCCCATCTAAGTGTGAAAGAAGTTCTCAAAAAAATTCTTTTCGATATGCATCAAATCGAGGTTGTGTCGGACCAACAGGTGACGCCAATACGGAAGCTCCCAAAAGATGCTCTTTTTTACCCAATTATATGTAATACCAAAACCAGTTGGTTTTATATAATTTGGACCATAAGGAGTACCTTGGTAAACAGTAGGGTAATTTTGGATTACCCCCCAAATATATTCTCCGGTTGGGTACGGAACAGGCACTTCACGCGTCACTTTGTTGCCTTTTATAAAATTAACTGTATCATTCTTGAATACATGTCTTCTGTGTAGATGTTTTCTGTGACAGTCAAACCAACACGGTTTTCCTCCATTATTAATTCGGAATGCTTCTGATTCATGCATGCAATATGGAAAAGCTAAATTACCGTGTGTGCTCCATCAGGACAACATTGCATAAGCAGGGAAGTCGCTAACTGTCCATAGAAGTACAACCCTCATCTGAAAATTTTCTCTTTTATGAGCATCATAAGTTTCAATGCCATCGGTGAACAACATTTTCAGCTCGTCTATTTCGATGACCATCTCCTCATATCTACGATAATCCATGTCTGCAGCCGTTTCAGTATTTGAACATTGACCTTCGTGTTGAGGCTGCTAAATACACGTTGGCTCTTCTTTTAACATCCTCTAACCTCATTGGTTGGAAACCATGACATTAAGATACAAGAGAGAGTGAGAAGAAACGCTTGAAGGTGGGAAAAAAAGCTTGAACCAGTAGTAATTACATAAACAAAAACAAAAAAAAACCAGAAAAAAAATCTAGGATTTACCTTTATTGGAGAAGAACAAATCGAGCAAGAGTGTGGGTGACCGGAGCTAAGAAGAGCAGCGACCTACGCCAATGTCAACGGCGGCAGCGCCGAGAAGAAGGCTCCGGTGATCGCCAAAAAGGAAGAAAGGGCGGTCTCCAGTCGACCAAGGCAGTAGCGGGAGAAAAGGGGAAAAGGACGCTAAGTGTTTGCTCTGTGAAGTCTTTGTAATATAATAAAAAAAGGGTTTTTTTTAGTCTGATATATGATGGGTGGGTAAATTAAAACATGCGTCGGAAATCGGTCACAATATAAAAAATCAATATTAAAAGTCGTCTGCTGGTTTCGAACTCACGACAAAGATGCACAGGTCAAAGTTCTTCCATTAGTCTATAAAGCACTTTTGTTTAAAATCTCCTTTTAAAATATTTGTAATCTTCTACACAGGTATATGATTCAACCGACCAAATCTTATTTTTTAATTATATTTTCTAAATCATAACACTAATAAATGAAAATTCAAATATTCTCTGATTTTATTTCTTAATTATATTTAACTTCTTTTATTTAATAACATTTTAGACAAATCCGTCGCTTATTACGATTTATTTTTTTCACACACATATAATACATCAATAACTACATATTTTATAAGTTATAGCTAAAATACACATACGTACATCCATGTACACCTTCGAGACCGACGTTTCAATTCTAATTTTCAAGTTTTCGGGGACCAAACATGGTTTTCATCGCTATAAATTTTATTACACCTTTTTTTTACACCAATTAATACACATTGAACAAATTATAGTAAATTTAGTACATACAATACACCATCACGATCCCATGTATTAATATGTATTAGATGTTAAAGCATAAGATCTTTAGCGGGACTCCGATAGTGCGCACGGATATTCGAATATGTATATAAGCTATAATTTTGTAAATATACAATAATTGATGTATAATATATGTGTGAGAAAAAATAAGCACAAAAAATGACGTATGTTGCTCGAAATGTCAAAAGTTAGACAGGTCCGTCGGAAATCCGTCGGTAAATACCGACGTATTAGTGACGGAAATTCATCAGCCGTCGCTAATCCGTCGGTAATTACCGACGAATTTCCGACGGATCTTTTCTAATTTCCGACTTTTCGAGCACCATACGTCGTTTTTTCCGATTTACTTTTCTCACACACATATAATACATCAATAACTACATATTTTTATAAGTTATAGCTAAAATACACATACGTACACCCATGTCCACCTTCGAGACCGTCGTTTCAATTCTAATTTTCAAGTTTTTGGGGACCAAACATGGTTTTTATCGCTATAAATTTTATTACACCTTTGTTTTACACCAATTAATACACATTGAACAAATTATAGTAAATTTAGTATATACAATACACCATCACGATCCCATGTATTAATATGTATTAGATGTTAAAGCATAAGATCTTTAGCGGGGCTCCGATAGTGTGCACGGATATTCGTATATGTATATCAGTTATAATTTCGAAATTATACAATAATTGATGTATAATATATGTGTGAGAAAAAATAAGCACAAAAAACGACATACGGTGCTCGAAATGTCGAAAGTTAGAAAGGTCCGTCGGAAAGCCGTCGGTAAATACCGACGGATTAGTGACGGAAATTCACGAGCCGTCACTAATCCGTCGGTAATTACCGACGAATTTCCGACGGATCTTTTCTAATTTCTGACTTTTCGAGCACCATATGTCGCTTTTTCCGATTTATTTTTCTCACACACATAATACATCAATAACTACATATTTTATAAGTTATAGCTAAAATACACATACGTACACCCATATACACCTTCGAGACCGACGTTTCAATTCTAATTTTCAAGTTATCGGGGACCAAACATGGTTTTTATCGCTATAAA